TTTGGTAGACTTTGCTGAAGCAAGCCATGATGACTAATAAAGATCTCCGTGTCATAATCATGAGTGCTACAGTGGACACAACTATGTTTGAGTCGTATTTCAATTGCTTTGGAAAGGTGCAGATTTGCACAGTGCCAGGCCGCACTTTTCCAGTAAAAATGCATTTTTTGGATGATCTTCCTACAAACCTAGTAGCTTATCAAAAACAAATAGAGAAAGAGAATAGTGATTTAAAGGTTAATTTTGAACAGGTAAGATAATATTAAGATAACAATTTATGTTTTTCTTCTGTGTTTGCATATCTCTCACTTCAGAACAATTGTTTTCATTAGGTGAGGAGGATTGTGTCATGGATTAATTATACCAAACCTGCTGGAGGAATATTAATTTTTGTGAGCGGCTGGAATGAAATGTCTGAGCTTCAAAAAATTTTATCAAGGGAGGCAAATATGCTTATTGTACCTGTACATAGTATGTTTCGGGATTGCTCTGCAGCATTTGAACCAGCACCTAATGGCAAAAGAAAAGTTATTTTGGCAACCAATATTGCAGAAACCAGCTTAACATTCCCTGACATTGTGTACGTAATTGACTGTGGAATTCACAAGAAACCTAAGAGGTAAATCACTCTCTTCCTCTGTAGTTATTTGGGTGGATCAATATTAATTCATTAATTATTACATTCAAGAACATGAAAAGTTTTAAATGTCTCGCTCTTTGTCCTTACAGAAATGTGCTATCTCCTGGTGGCTGGTCATCTGTCAGGATGAGTTCTGAGTGGGTTACAAAAGCCAATGTACTACAGCGTAAAGGAAGAGCTGGAAGAGTACAACCTGGTGAAAGCTTCCATCTTTTCACCAAAGAGAAGTTTTCTGAAATGGAAAGCTATGAGCTGCCCAGTATTTTGACTGAAAGTCTGGAGTATCTTGTTCTTAGTATTAAGGTATTATTTTTATCTGTTATTTTTTTTTTTTAAATTTAAGTGCACGTACATTCCTTTTAATATATATAAGATTTTTTTTTCAGATGGTGAATCCTGATATCCAAGCAAATAAATTATTGAAAGAATTTCCCACCCCTCCCAGTGAAAGAGATGTCAGGCATGCCGTTCACACCCTCCAAACAGTGTCCTTACTTTCACATCCCGATGAGAAGCCAACTCCATTAGCATTGGCAGTAATGCGAATGAGTTCTTCTCTACCATCAGCTTTAGCACTCATCTATAGTTCTATTTTTAGGTAGGAGCACAAAATATCAATTAGGGTGGAAAACGAGTAGAAAACTTGCATAATGTTTTATTTTGAAAATAATTTTCTAGGTGTTTTGACAAAACCCTGTCTATAATAGCTGCTGAAGAGACCCCACTAATGTTATCTTCACGACGCGAAGTGAGTGAATCAAGAGCTACTCTTGAACGCTTGTTGAAAGAATCATACCATGAGTCAAGTGACCACCTTGCAAAGAGTAATGCAGTTAACGATATAAAGAATAATAATACACCATCTTTCAGACAAACTAGAGGTATGCAACTTCTGTAAAAATGATAAAATTGACCAGTAACGAGGATTATCTTTTTTCATGCTCATATTGTACCCTACTTTTACAGTTTTGAAAAGTTTTTTGGGAAAGCAAATTAAGTCAATGAGCCCTGCATTAAAATATTCCACTCTTAATGAAAACTGTAATGAGCAGCTTGTGTTGTCAATTATTTTGAAGTCTTTTGGATCCCTTCTGGTGAAATCCCATGGGAAATCAATGACAGTTTCCCTGCGAGATAAGTATGTTCATTCAAATAAAAATTGAATCTTACCATTCCCCTTAACCTGTTTAACAATGTCCGAAATTCTATTTACCTTTTCAGGTCTGGTATTACAGCAATGGTCAAGTCTAGTAGTATCAATTCAAAATTTGAAAACTTAGAGTCCCCTTTTCTCATGTACTTGAATGGCCATGTTGTGAGAGGGAACCTATTGTCCACTAAAGATACATCTGTCATTTCCCCATTGTCCGTCCTCTTATTTTTACCATTTTCTTTTAAAGCTGTGGTGAGTTACATCAGCTCATATTTATTTATTGTCTTGGAAAATTTACAAGTCTTTTAAGTTTTACGTTTACTTTCTCTAAATTGATTTTTTTTTAGGAAGTTGAATCTGACAGAATTGAAGTCAAGGCTTGGCATAAGAACTGGGTAGCTCTTAGTCTAGAAAAGGAGTAAGTTGTTTAGTACTAATTGATTTTTTTATCCTCCAAATTATTATAAGGCTGTTCACTAATAATTGACTTTTCTTTTCACAGGGATTACCATCGCATCTTAGCTCTTAGAAGAGCTCTGAAAGATTGTTTAGATTATTTCGTCATAGCAGAAACTCTTAATCAACCTGATCATAATTATGGAATACTGTGTGACTTTAGGAGCCAACTTATTCAGTGTGTTACCAAGATGCTAACTGGTGGGCAGAGGCACACCAATGCCATCCCCAAAACTGAAGACTGAACTCTTACACTCTAAGTAGCAAGGGACATTTTCTGTCCAATGCAAGATGCATAAAAAAATGAACAAAAATTGTTTTTGTCATTTAGAGACAATACATCTTTTTCTTGTACCTGTATTAATCTATGCTAAATATATATGCCAATTATATTCATAATCACTGAATCTCCCAGTTTTGTTATTCGCGCGAAAAGAGGTGAATAACACCCGTCGGATTGGCGAAGAGAAGGGGAGGCAGGAAGACGCGCCAACAAAGAAAAGTGACCATTAGTGACTCGACGCGGGAAAGGGAAGCAGCAAAATTATGAATGGCATGACGGCGGCACAGAGAAGAGAAGGCGAGGCGGCGCCACGCCACGCCCCGCTGCGGGGGCGGAGGCCTACCATTCCACACCGAAAGAGAATTTTATTCCCAGTTGGTGGATAATGAAAATTCTTGAGGGGTTAAACAGAGGTAGCGCCGGGGAGCTGCTCGGGGCCCAGCCCCGGGCCGGCCCAGCCCAACCGGGGCGCGCGCTCCGGCGCTACCGTGCGCACTGCGCCAGGGAGAGGTCGGGGGAGGGGCCGGGAGGAGGGGTGTCCCACACGGACGAGGCAGCAGTGGGAATGCGCGAAATTTAAGTAAGCCACCGCCGGGTTGGCATTGAGTGGCGATGCCGGTGCGGCGGCGCCCGCGGACCAATAGGCAGCTGTACGCGGATTCTTTGGAGCGGGCGCCGTGAAAAGAAGGTAAATATTTCCGCCACGATCCCCGCCGCGGCGTCGTGTGGTTGGTGTACCCTCCACACCTCCATCCCCGGATGGGTAGACGAGCCCGCTAGACTCAACTGTCCAACTGGGAGTTGCCTACCCGGTACCCTCCGGCCGTAGCCGCTCCTCGAAGGGAGGCAGCCGACAGGAGGCGCGCGAAAGCAGCCCGCCCGTAGCCCTTGCGCGGCGGGCAGTCCCGCCACGCCCCGTTGTCTCGCGGCGTGGCCTATCCTTCCACCGCAAGGCGCTCCCAGCGGTGCGCAGGAAATAGAAGCCCCGCTGGTCATTTACTTCCCCCTTTTCCACGGCGGTTAGGCAAGGGCAAGCACTCAACGCCTCCACTGTCTCTCCTGCCTA